CCGCCCGAAGAGGAGGAGGAGCAGGCGCTGACTCACTGGAAGCCCTTTCTGGTCAACATGTGCGTGGCCACAGTCCTCACGGCCGGAGCGTACCTCTGCTACAGGGTATGTTTTCACTGACGGACGTGCCGGCCAGACAGCGTGCGCAGAAAGCACTGGCGGTAGAGCGGTGTGCGGGATTCAGTTCTGTGGAAGGATCTGAGCCAGGTCTCAGAGGAAACAGATCAAAGGTTTTTAAGTCTGGAACTGTGGAAGGGCTGAAGGAGAGAATTGAGGATTAATGCACTCGGGCTGTGATGAGCCCTGTGGTCCCAAGAATATATGTGTCTAATCTCAGGGCCTTACCTATTCAGGAGTAAGTAGAGAAAATGCCAAATACGTCTCTCTCTCTCTCTCTTTTTTTTTTTTTTGTTCGTTTTTGAAAAAAAAAAAAATAGAATTACAACACATTGTTGTTTTTAACCTTTATAAAAAGCAGCTTTTTGTTATTTCTGGGGGACAAAAAGAGGAGGCACTTAGGAAACTTTCTTGTACCCTTAGGTGGTGTGACCAGATCACAGTTTATGTTTGATTTCCCAGGGAAAAATCCTAAACGTTTGCGAATGTAAAGGTCCTCTGGAGAAGAGGGTTAAGAACAGTGTAATGCTGTCTCCTCCACTGTCGCGGGCAGACGGCACTCAGGACAGTGCCTGCGGGCTTCCCCATTTTCAGAAGAACAGCAACAAATGGCTGTCTCTAGAAGACAGAACCGGTTTCTGCTTTTGCTCAGGGTGTCCCAGATGGTTCTCCCCGTGGCCTTTCTCCACCGACGCCTCCTTGTTCAGCCATCCTCTCGTACCTGCCCATACCACCCCATCCCCATGACGGGTCATTCCCACCAAGGCGTCCATCGCATTTCCTTCCAGCTGTCAGCGTCCACAGGCCCACGTTCCAGTCCTTGGGAGTAGAATGCCATTTCAGTGGAAACCCCCACATCAGAAAGTGTGTTGCTGTTAAAGGCAGGGAAGGAGACAGTCTCCACTCTGGTTGTTGGAATCCCCTCACAAGACTTTTGTTACCACTTTGACTGTTTGACTTCTTTCCAGGCGACCATGTTTGAGTGCGTCAGCTGGTTTAGAGATGCAGACGACCCTTTCCTTAGGGGTGCTTCTAGGGGAGGGGGTTGTAAAAATGAAAACCCCTTCCCCAGTGGCTGGGTGGTGTGGCTGGGGAGTGCATGAGTCGGGCAGCTCTGCAGGTGTGGCTTCTGGGCTCATCTGAAAATGTTTGGTTTCATTCCAGTTCCTGTTCAACAGCAGCACATAACCTGACCCACCTCCACCTCCACCCACTGTCCGCCTCGCTCGTAGCGCCTGCGCCCGGCTAGCAGGCGCGCTGTGGTAGGTGAGGGCCCGCCGGGACCCACAGACGCTTGTTCTGCACTTAACCTCCCCTCGCCTGGGCTCGTTGTCTACCCCTGATCCTTTCACTTTTTCTCCCACCTTCCCACCTTCCTTCCTTCGAGTGCCAGGCTGGTGGCACTGCGTAGAGGTGGCCGGCCACCAGTCCCGGGGCTCCCCCACCCCCGTGCTCCCTCATGGTGCGTCCCAGCAGGCGGCAAGCCACTGCCTCCCTGAGACCTTTGTGAGCCTCTTTGTAGTTAGCCTCCACTCCATATTTATTTTTCTTTTTCCCTCAAGAGTGTCCATAGTGCACTAGCATTTTCTTAAACCAATAACGTATTAAAAATTTTTGATGACAGCCTTGCATCAAGGGCTTTCTCAAAAAGTACAATAATAAATCCTCAGGTAGTACTGGGCATGTGAGACTTTGCCGCGAGCCTGCTGCATCAGACCAGTGCTGGGAAGGAGGACGGTTGGAAGCAGTCGTTATTTAGTGCTCTTGTGGCTAGCGTAAGAAGTGGTTTGGCGGACATCTGTAGAACAATGGTGTAATAGATACTGAACACTTGAGTATTTAAGATATGTGGTGTGAGATTACTCTGGCCCGTTTCTCCTCCTCCCCGGTATCTGCCAGAACCTGGTTCTCAGCCACCGCTTTCCCTCTTTCTATTAGCATGCATGTAAGGGCTCCTTGTCCTGATCAGATGTCACGTGCTTGAACTGAGAAGCGTAGATTTCTGCTTACTAATGTGCCCCGTGTACAAGTCCAGTCTCCCTTTGCATGATCTGATCGTTATGTGGCTGTGGTTCCTAAAGCTGTTGCTGACATAGCTGTCATTCAGCAATAGAGGGATGTTTTCCAGTAACAGATATTTGCCTAATTCCTGGCATGACACTCTGGTGACTTCCTGGTGAGGCCCGGCCTATCCTGGTCCAGCTGGGTCCCACTGTAACTCAGACATTCCAAGGGTATGGGAAGCCATATTCACACCTCCTGCTCTGGGCATTGAGGCAAGCAGGGTTGCCCCCCACTCCACACACACACACTTTTGGGATCAGCCTGCACTCTTCCAAGGTCACTTTCGTCTGGAGCAGACTGTGACTTGGAACCAAGGCAACTGGTGGGAGCCACACCTGGATGACGGTTCCTTAGCATTGGCCCGCTACCCTCTCTGTCCCGGGCCTTGCTGAGAGATGCATGTCTGTCCTGCCCTTGAGCCCCATGGGGACTGATGGTGCTCGCGACTCTTCCTCAGAGGGGACTTAAGACCTCCACGTTAAGTGGCTTTTTTAACAAAAAAAAAGAAAAAAAGGCAGCTGTAGCTCACGAGCTGCTCTTTTGCCAGCATTTTCACATTTTGCCTTTCACGTGTTAGAAGCCAATGCAGACAAATTGTGTGGTGGGAACCTTTGCGGTGCCACCCCGCAGAGCCCTGGGAGGCGTGGAGAAGGCTTATTAGGTGCCAGGCTGTATGCAGTTCTGAGTTGGGCTTGTTTGTTTTTTTAAGTCCTGTATATGTATGTAGTAGTTTGGGTGTGTATATAGAGTAGCATTTCGAACGGATGTACTGGTTTAACCTCCTATCCTTGGAAAACCGATGACTCTCCATCTCGTTACACGTATGTTAGAGAGTTAGCGAGCTGCTCTGCTCTATGCCTTAAGCCAATATTTACTCATCGGGTCATTATTTTTTACAATGGCCATAGAATAAACCATTTTTAAAAAAATAAAAACAAAAAAACAAGGTGTTTTGGTATAATACCTTTTCAGGTATGTGTACACATGGATGCATGACGGGGCGGGTGGGGGGTGTGTCTCAGGGTCTTCTGTGACCTCACAGAACTGTCCATCTGTACAGTTTTCCAACTTACCATATCAATGATGGGTTTGCATTTTAGTTGGAACAATAAAAATTGTTTTCTAAAGAACATGGATTTGGGGTGCTTCCCATTTCTTTGCTTAATGGACCTAAACCAGGATGGGCAACTCCTGTTCTTTCCATTTCTCCTGATGTGAAACAGATGTTGACAAGTGGGGTTATATTTTCCACATCTAAGAATTACGACGGCTTCCTGGAATTATGCCTTCCATTGGGCTGGGGTAGCTTTCCATGGCTGGTGCGCTTCTTGAACAGTTCAGACCTCAACCCTCTTCCTTCAAAAATCCCCCCTAAAACAAAAACACCCTCGGATGTATATATAGGGCCCTTGAATAACTTAACAAACCTTTAGAAGTGGTTTGAAGGACCGTTCTAACTCAGGGACGTGTTCCTTAGCCAACTGCCTGTAAAACGCAATGGTTACCACATCTTAGTATGTATGCCCACAGGACCTGCTGTTTTCAGTGGATCGAAGCAGAATTGAGTTAAAAATAATGAGACTATACAAAAAATTAGTATAGTCTTGCTTTTGTGTACAAAATTAAATAATGGAAATGCCCCTCAAGTTGTTTTTAACTTTTTGTTTTGGAACAATTTCAGGCTTGCAAAAATGGTGCAGAAATAGTTCAGTTTCCCTTCTATCCTCCAGGTTCTGGCTGTTTCAAAGCTGGCTGCTGAGTCAACTGTTTATGCTGCAGCTGGTAAACACAGGCTCTGGTCATGTGACCACAGCACGTACAGAGGACACCCACTGTCACCCTTAAATCTTTGTCTTGGATATTAAAAAAACGACATCTAAGCTTTCACAAGGTGGAATGCCAGTGTGAAAAATAACCACATGTGTAACTTTGGAGCAGAAATTAGATGGGGAGAAGGGCCAGGCCACAGCCTTGCCAGGTGGTGCTCCTATAGGAGCGGGCATGCCGGGAAGCCTCAGAGGAAGCAGGGCCAAGTGCCAGCAGGAGAGTTCCCGAGGCCGCCCCTCAGACTCGCTCCTGTGGGAGGCCGCGCAAGCACTCTCGGGGACAGCGGTGTCCTTGCTCCCAGCGGCCGATTGGGAAAACAACCTCTGCTGTCTTTTTTCAGATAAAATGAAACACCACTTAAAATCATTTTTTAATCGAAATTTCAGGAAACCAGACATAGAAACAAGGCAAATAAATACTAAATCAAAAAAGCACAAAATATGTACAGGAAGTTTAAGTGAAAACATTTAAGTTACAAAGCTCTCCAAATGCCATTGTTGACAGCAACATCTAAACCCAAGGTTTTCTCTACATTATTAACACAGAAACATCTCAGAACACATGGGGATTTTTTTAATAGACTTAAATAGGAAACTGTTTTCTTTCTTTAAAGCAACATGCTCTTCAGTGAAATCTTTCTTCAAGCAACTTATGGCTCCTGAAGCAATTTATGTAATAGGCCCTAAATTGACTTGTTTCAAAAGTTGGACTCATTTTGGTTCGTTCCTGACAGTGACATGCAAGGCTGTTTGGTCCACGTGTCTCCTCCCTTCGCTTGTACTGTTGGACAGTGAGGAGAAGGCCTGCGGTTAGGGCTGTGCATTTATAAATGGGCCTCAGCTCAGGGTCAGAGTGTGGATGGGAAAGCCTCGCTTTGTGCACCCCCACCTCCCCCAGCTCTTGGAGGTGACAGCTGGCTGCTATTGAAGTGACTCCAGTCGTTTCCTTAGCAGTTGGCCAGCCTGCCTCCTCTGTCCCAAACACCTTTCCCACGGTACGTATGAGCCAGAATGCTGAGCCAGCGATGGGAAGGGAGGCCTCGAGTTCAACACATTCGAATTGAGCCTTTTCTTCAAACCTCGACCTGCCTGGCCTTGGCCCCTTTGCTGGCGTGGCCAGCTGGTGCTGACCCAGCTCCGCATCCTGGAGAAGGTCAAACGGATTTCCAAAGCCAAAGATACAGATATTTGGTTGGACTCGTGCAGCCCTCTGAGTGCTGTTTGTCATTTTCTCCTCCTGTACAAGAGCTCCACTCATTCCTTGGGCCTCTGTGACTGGCTCTGAGCCTCAGGGGACAGCTCTCACCAGCTCACACAGTGCCCCCCCTCCAAAAAGCTCAGTCGCTGCATGGAGGCAGTAGCAAAAGAAGGGGCCAGATGAGAGTCCATCAGCCGAGGCTTTTTAAAATACTGTGATTTCAACATCTGCCTCCTGGCAAAAGGCTTCTTCTCTTTGTTGGGAGCTAATTCTGTCCATCTTCTCAAAAGCTAAGCGTCCTTTTTCACCTGAAATAGCAAGGTCATCTGTCACTGGGCTGTCCCCGCCTTGGTGTTTCCTACTCTGCAGGCCACAGTGACTTTAGTACCTACTGAAGGGCGGGTCGAGAGTGCCGCCAGGAAAGGAGCAGCAGGGGATGGGGCATCTGGGGTGTTCCCACCCGGCGGGCTTGCACGGTCCCAGGGCCTCATCCCTACATCTGCACAGCATTTGCTGAATTGTAGGCCTGCTGTGTGTCTGGCTTTTGTTCACCAAGGTTCATGAGCTGAAGTTTGAGAAGAAAATAAAGCACTTCTTGCTACCTCAGCCATGAAGGAAACCTGCATTGGCCAAAATGCAATTACACATGGAAGCTGACTCTGCACTGGGGTTGCTAATGGCGCCCGTGGTCGCAGATGGCTGGGTCTTCTTAGCACGTCTTCTGTAAGGGCCCCGGGACCACAACGCACTGCGCAGCGTCGGAGGCGGTACTTTACCAAACGACAGTGTGGCCTCCCTAGCTGCCGCCCGCACCGCCTCCAGGTCTGACTGGCATAGGCTGGCGATCTGGTCGATGCTTTCAATGCCCTGTGTGAGGTTGGGGGGAAGGAGGGTCCATTAAGGGACATTTTATTTAAAATGTAGACTCCACTTTTATAAGCCTGACAGGACCAGCCCTAGCATGGTCTCTGGGACCTCCGCCCCTTCCTTTCCTTGAGGCTTCCAGGGTCCTTATGTGGCCTCGGGTTCATCAGAGGCGCCACTGGAGGCGTCTTGTCCTTTCAGTCCTGACGCCTGCCTGCCAGCGGGCCTGGCTATTAGCAGATTTGTCTCTGTGGACGCCTTCTGCAAGGCCCAGCTTGGAAAGGACCTGCTTTCCTCAGACCTCCTGCCTCCCCCTGATCTCCAGCTCAGTTGTGAGAGGCAGTGGGGCCTTGCCGGGCCCAGCTGACGGCCTGGCTGCTCTCCTGCAGGGTCGAGGGCCGGAGCGCCCTTCAGCTCCCTCTGCAGGCCCCCTTACCCTCTCACCGGCTGTGTCATAACCAGGTGGTCCTCGTAGGATTTCTTGATTCATTCCAGAATGAAGAGGGTGAGTCCGTTTTATCTGTAATGAACTCTCTCTCATCTAGCAAGTTGGCAGTGATTTTTCTAAATGAGAATTCCAGATGCAGGTGACATCTGAGGTAAGATGGGCTTCCCCTCACGTCACATGGACATGGAAGTGGGGTGTTGTTATCAGGAGTCTCAAGATATTCATATTCTCACCTCTATGGTAGTAACATTTTGGGGAGTCTAGCTTAGAGAAATAACTCAGAACTCTGTTAATTTTTTTTTAAAAAAGCTTTACGTACAAAGATGCTCATAATGACGTGAACAAAAAAAAGTAAATTTTCTACAAGATGCGGGGGAGTAGGTGAAATTTACGGTATAAACTTGATAGACCTTTATTAAAAAATCTAAAGCACTACCAATCTAGCACACCAAGTGTTTCTTTTGCTCACTGTTTTAAACTATATAAAATGTCATCAAGCATTCTAAATGCACCCAACTGCACACCTGTAAACCAGAGAAATCAAGAAATATACCAAAATGTCAACTGTAGTGTCTGCTAAGTGCTAAGACTGTGGATAACTTTCTTTTACATTTCTGTATTTTAAACACTTTTTTTTTTTCACAGTGAATTTATTGTACTTTTTAAAAGTTTTGCTTTTAATTGAGAATAGTAAATCCCAGAAGTGAGTCCATGGGGCCACCTGCTTGCTCCCTGCTGTCTGCCTGGAGCCTGGGACGGGGCCTGGCCCAGAGCAAATGCTGTTTGCTGAGTGACTTTCATGGCAGAGCCCCAGTTGGTGGAGCTGATGGCTGCCTCTCTGAGACCAGTATTTAGATGCTGCTTTGCAGCTGCTGGTTTTCTTTTTCCCCTTTTTGGACCCAGTGGAATCATTTTGAAAATGAATTCTAACGTTAACCACCAGCAGGCTTTGAGGAAACGTTAACTTACCTTGAGGTGTTTGAGTGCCACACAGGCGGCTTGCTGGAGTTTTGGGTCAGCCTCAGCCAGGGCATTGGTGTAGAAGAGCAGAGCCTAGGAAAGAAGGTTGCGGAGAATTGGTGGGGCAGCGGAAGCCAAGTCCAGGGTACCTGGGGCTAGTACACTCCTGGCGCTGACGGTAAGTGAAGCTCTCCTTACCTTTTTCTAAACAAAAATCATTGGGCCAAGGGCATGCAGTCACAAGATGTTCCATTTATCCCTAAAAACTCTGATTCCTGAGCTGTTTTTTTCTGGCCGATTGTGGTAAATTGGCTCAAGCAAAGAGTCTAATTTCATTCTTACGATAATAAACGAGGAAGGATCTTTTTGTCTTATGTTTCACAAATGCATTCTGAAACTGCCGTGTATTTAAAACACTAAGTCCAGAGAAATCAGATGTCCAGCTCGAAAAACAGAAGAATTGAACACACAGGCTGAAGAAGACAGGTGAGGCTGTTGCCCCCGATCTGAAGGAGAGTCTTCCCCTCGCCACCCTTTCCAGCCCCAGCCCCAGCCCCTTCAGTCACAAATCACTTCACATCCTTGGGCCTAACTCCACTCAGCTGGAAAATAAAGCTGGCGTTTGCTTCACAAAAGTGTTGTAAGGATTCACTGGAAAGTGTGTGGGGATGCGCCTGGCCCACAGGTAAGTCCAGCCTCCGTGTCCGTAAAGGGAAAACCTGGGAGCAAGCCTGAGTCCACTCTTGGTTGATGGCCACACCTTCAACTGCAAGGGTCAGGAGACCGCAGGGCCCAGGGTTTGGTCTGAGGGACCTGTGTCCAGAGCTTAGAGCTTAGTATCCACCACACCCCGCAAAACAAGGGGACAGTTACCTTTCCACGGGAGGCAGCTCTTAAAGAGAAGTGCCTGCTCCTTTCAGAATGGGGGAGTCTGGGAAGTGAAATCAGATGTCTGGGGTTTGCTCCAGAACCACACGGGTGCAGTGGTTGGGGGTGGGGACAGGATTGGCCATGGGTTGGTGGTTATTGGGCTTAGAGGGGGGTGCCTGTGTGTGCATTCTGTTGTGCCTGCTTTTGTCTGTGTTCAGGATTCTCCAAATCATGGAACAATAACACCAACAAAGTACGTGTGGTCCTGAGGGATTGTTAGAAGCGTCACTGGAGAGCTCCTCTCTGGAGCTGAAACCAAGGGATACAGCGTGGCCCCAGGATGGCCCTTCCCTGCCCACCTAAGTCTACAATCATCACAGCTCCAGGAACCTAAGAGGCACAAGAGTCTGAGCTTTGACTTTTAGGTGGACTGAACCCAGCGGACCGTCATGAGCTGGTCAGGCATGTGAACTTAAGTCACCGAGGGTGACCATCAGTGTGCTAGGAAAGGTGCATTCACCGGGCAGGTGATGTCCCAGAGAGCAAAGTTCCGCTGTGGAGACACTGAGATAGTAAGCTCACGGTGCCCATTTCTGTGGGTCCCTCAGGTGCAGCCTGACACCTGTCCGAGGGCCAGGGCTGCCGATGGTGGTATCCCTAAATCAAAGTCCCTGCAGTAAATGCAGCTCCCCCCCCCCGCCCCCGCCCTCACGCACTCTGTATTTTTCCTCTCCCCACTCACACCTGTAGCCAGGGGGCCGCCGCCGTCCACTCTACCTTTTCTCGGAAGCTCTTGTTCCTGGCTGCACTGGCCAGGCGCGAGCTGGCCGCCCTGCACACGCGTGGGGGCCCGTCCAGCTGGAGCAGAGCCCAGGCGCGTAAGGTCTGGGGCAGGGGCTGGAGCTGGCCCAGCCGCTTCCCCTGCAGCTTCTTGACTGCCCTGGCCTGGCCGGCGCACTGCAGCTCGGCAATGAGTGTTACTGAAAGAGAGAAAGACGGCCCAGGTCCCCTCAGGCTGGGGGCGACGGGCATGCAGCGGCCACTTCTGCCTCTAGCCGTGGAGGCACAGATCCCGGACAAGCCATGTGATCAGAGGCTGCATCTGGATTCATTTCAGAGGTGGCCTCGAACCTCTGGGGAGCCCTTCTAGCAAGGGATCAAGTACACCCTTAAAATTAATGAAGCTGCTATCCATTCTTGTGGGGACTCTGGCCAGCTGAGCGGAACCCTCCCATCCAGCTTTGACCTCTGCTCCCCGCTCGCTGAAGCTTCCCTCCCTGGGACTGGCTGAACGGGGCATCTAATTAAATCTGGGTCCTAGAAAGAACAGTTGCAGAGGAAAGATGAAGTGGTTCTGAATCGGAATCTGAGATAATGGCTGGCTTCCGAGAGCCGGGAGAGGACATTCCGCTGCGTTCCCGTCTAACAGCGTGGTTTGAGGCCACCCCACCCGTACCTTCCTTGGTGAGCTGGGTGAAGTGCTTCTCCAGGTCAGAGACGCTCTGTTTCTGCAGGTAGCTGTGGAACTGGAACCAGGTGACGGTCTGCTCCTCCGGGGGCCCGGCTCCGGGGAGCAGCCCGCCGCAGCTGAGTACCTGCTCCAGCAGCCTGTGGCACGCTGGCGGACAGCGAGGCGTGAGGCCCGGCTCCCAGAGGGAGCCCCTCCGCCAGGCTAAGGCCTGGTTAGTTAAAAGGCTTTCTAGTGGCCCAGGAAGTGTCGACTGTGCCTGCAGGAGGAGCCTGAGCTGGCGAGAGCCGTGTGTGCCAGCTGGAGACCAACAGCCTGAGTCAGAGTCTAGGTGCCTGCCCCCCACCACCCCCAACACACACCTGAATCTGGATCCCTGGAAGTGGGGCCTGGGTATGCACAAAAACCAAAATACCAAACTCGTTGCCATCGAGTCAATTCCGACTCATAGCGACCGTATATTATAGGACAGAGTAGAACTGCCCCAAAGGGTTTCCAGGGAGCGCCTGGTGGATTCAAACTGCCAACATTTTGGTTAGCAGCCGTAGCTTTTAACCACTGCGCCACCAGGGTTTCCTGGGAATGTGTATGTCCACAAAAAACGAAAATCAAACCCACTGTCGTCAAGTCAATTCCAACTTGTAGTGACCCTATAGGACAGAACAGAACTGCCCTACAGGGTTTCCAGGGCTGTAATCTCTACAGAAGCAGACTGCCACATCCCTCTAAAGAGCGGCTGGTGGATTCGAACTGCCAAGCTTTTGGTTAGCAGCCGAGCGCTTAACCACTGTGCCACCAGGGCTCCTTGCATGTCCACAAGCAGCTGCTAAAGTCTGAGAGCCACCACCTGGACAACTCCCGCCTGCTGCCCTACAGCTGGTCAACAGAGCCGTCTCCGGCTCTGCCCTCTGGGGATGGTCCCGCCAGCACTCAACGACTCCTCCACCAGGCCTCGCCTACCTCACTCCCTGTTCGTTCTTAAAGGTCCTGGTGCAAGCTGTGGACTCTGTCCCCAGGGAGATGCCCCACCCCACTCATGTTTGTCTGCAGCTTCGGGGTTTCCCAGACGCCCCAGAGTCCATCTTCAGAGCCCCTCCCTTCTTCCTTCCCACAAAGGGCAGATGGCATCGTCAAGCTGAGAAGCGTCCACTGGGGCCGTGAAGACACTTCCCAGAGATGAAGTCCCCGGAGGATCAGCACAGCGTCTCGGGGTTGGGGGTAGGGGGTTACCTATCTCCAGTTGTCCCGGGTACTTCCCTCGAACCCTGTGCAGGAACGTTTTCTTGAGCTGGTTCACCAGCACCGTCGCAGGGCAGGACAGGACCCCGCCGAGCCCCGTGCACCCTCTCCACAGCTTCAGACACCCCTTCCTCCGAGAGGCCTGTGGAATGACTGAGGGCCCAGGGTCAGAAAGCTGATGGCCAACAGGAAAGACTCCCCTCCGCTCAGATCTGGGGGTCAGGGAGCCCAGGGTCAGCACAGCTTAGCACAGGTCCCCTGCCACATCCCAGCGGGGCACTTAGAGCCGAAGCTGCTTGTTCTTTGTGCCTCCAGCGCAGGGGCGCCCACTGTCACTAGCTTCTCCTATGGACAACCTGGGCTTCCTCCCGAAGGGGAGGTCACTTGCTTGAGTCCTTCTGGAAGGCTGAGGCAGAACTGAAACTGCTGGGCCTTGAGTGTGTTCTGGGATTATGTCACTGAACCCTATCCATTGGTCTCCCATTATACAGAAGGGGAAGCTGAGGCTGAGAGGTGAATCGTTAACCCAGGGTCACAGTGGACCTCAGAGCATGCTGCTAACTCCCAGGCTGCGCAGCCTCCCTCCCTGTCCCGCCATGGTGAGCTCAGTCCCAGCCTAGCCGCTATGCCCAACTTGCACACGCCCTCTAGCCCCAGAATCGCAGCAAGGAGACGAGGCTCCATCGCTCCATGCCATTCACACACGCAGCCCATGGGTGGTGGGCAGTTACTTACTCTCATCAATGGATGTCGCCTTGCAGACTTTCTCAAAATCGAGCACAGAAAGCGTCTCCAGAACCTGCTTTTGCTGCGCTGCTTCTTCCAGGAGGCACTCCTGGACCATCCTCGACAGATTAGGGGAGGCCAGTTTCTGGGAAGAGACCCACGATGCTCCAGGTTAGCGTCACGCCTGCCGAGGTCCCACCTGCCCTCCCGTCCCAATGGGAGCTCTCTGACTGGGGACCCCTGCTCCCCACTCTGTTTCTCTGGCCAGAAGTTGACCCCCACAGATGCTGGCCAATCACGCTCCTTCCCACGGGTCACAGTGGTCTGTCCCTGGATTGGGCGTGTGGCCCAACCAAAGCCAGGAAGGCTCTCCCCTAGGAATCTGGCTGGAGCCATTACATACAGAGCCCCAATCTCTTCACAAAGGTGGTTAAACCGGTCAGAAGCAGGCCCGGGCCACAGGGCCATCTCTGCCATCAGAAGGGGCTGGCCTCCCAAAAAATGAAGCCAGCCAACACAGGACAGCAGAGCCGAGAGGGAGAGACCCAGGGGTATGACATTTGAACCCCTGGATCTAGCTGGGTCTGAAACCTACCTTTGGATCTTTCAATCACATGAGTTAATAAATGTTCCTTTTGGTTGAGCCAGTTTGGATTAGGGTAGGGTCATTTATAACTGAAATAGCCGCAGCCACAGCCTTTGGCCCAGGGCTTGGACTGCATAAGGGTGACATGACTATTCGCCCAGGCCTCTCACTGAGATACCGTGCTTCCCGCCATCTCCCAGCCCTCCTCCAGCCCAGGCCCTCAGCCACCTGCAGCAGGGCTTTGCAGACTTGGAGGTGAGTCGTGAGCAGCACGTCCAGCTCCGGGGCGCCGGCCGTCAGCTCCCTGGACGATGCCTTCAGCGATGGCGGCGCGGGCAGGGTCCTATCCTTTCTGAGTTGGATTGAGAAGGACTGAGTGACCATTCCGTCAGCAGTTCAGCTCCCAGTGATAGTAGAGAAAACCCTCCCTCCCCAGAGAGCTCTGGATCAGGGAGGCCGACTCCAGGTCCCAAGGAGATGGAGGTAAAGCGAGGAGAAAACTAAGGGGCAAAGGGCCGTGATAACTTCAAACGGAGCAGAGATGGTGTGGGGCCACACGCTTCCAGGATGTCTGCTTTGGAGTCAGAAGCCTGAGGTTCAAACTAATTCCCAGCTCCGTGACTCTGACAAGTCTGCCTCCCTGAGCCTCAGTGTACTCGTCTGGAAAGTGGGGACAGGGATAGCAAGCGGAGGGTCGTGAGGGTAAGTGCGATGCTGCTGGCGGGAGTGCTCAGCACAGTGTCCACATGGCAGGCGCAGTGGGCAGACGGTGACCCTGAGGCCTGAGCAGCTCTCACGGATTCAGGGAGAAGTGACACCCGCTCCCGCCCCAGAGGATTGTGGGAGAAGAGGAAGATGAGAAATGTAGCTGGTTTTCACTCCTGTGCCGCTGTGATTTAGGCCCAGGTGGGGCCCTGGTGATCCTTGTGATTAGGGTGGGGGGTGGCTGGTGCAGAGGGGCGCGTCTGAGCTGGAGCCGGGGTGGAGGGGAGCCCCAGTCACGCTGCACGTTGGTTACATAGAGGTCAGAGCTTCTCCTGTGTGCCTGCTTGTTATTTGTAAAGACTGACAACACAGCCCATTTCTCGGAAGCTCACAGCCAGGGTGGAGCATGCTGCCTCATGCACCCAATGGTCACCAAGGACCTGCTCTGTGCCAGGCAGTGCACATAGCAGGGCAGGGACGAGGGACAAACAAGCAAACAAGGGCAGCAGGAGCGAGAAGGCAGGAGGCTGACAGGAAGCGTGGAGCTATGGCAGTCAGGCGCGGACACTGCAGCCGACCCCGCTGGGAGGGGCGCACTCACCGGGGACCCTGGGAGCCCCCAAACAGGGACAGCTCGTCTGGGGCGAAGTCAGCATGGAGGAAGGCGAAGCTCTCCAGGATGCATTCCATCAAGCTCTCGGCCGAGACGTGCTCCCGGTGGGCAGCGCGGGGCTGTGGGCAGAGCATTGAATCCCTGAGGGAGGCTGGGCCTGTCGCTCACCCAAACACAGCTCAGGGGCTCTCACTGCAGACCTTCAGAGTCTCCCAGTCACCAGCACTGATCCCACACGCTGTCCCAGGGACGGCAGAGTCTTGTCAGCTACCCTGAGCACAACTGCAGCCCGTCCCCAAGGGGCATGCAGTGGGGGACGGTCGTGGCTCCTGGGAGAGATCCCTCCCGAATAGCCGTGACGAGAGACAGGCCGGAAAAGCCTCACAGGGATCCCAGACACCCACGGGACAGGGCAAGTGACACGAATGAGTGGGCCGGCTGGGTGGAGGCCAAGGCAAACAGGAGGGACAGCTGATGGCTGCCGCTTGGGAACATAAGACCAGTGTTGCCGGGTGGCTAACTGTCTAGGAAAAGCCAGAAACCTGGATTTTTATGGGAAACCACCCAGGTTATAAATATCAGCAACTAATTCTAAATTGTTTTAAAAATATGGTGTGGGTCAGGCCGGACACCTCTTCAGGAGGCTACTGGGACTTCTGTCTTCCTGTCCCTGATCTGTGGCTGAACTGCAGGGCTGGCTCCCAACCCATCCCCAGCACATCCAGGCCTCATCCCACACAAACTGCACCAAAGGCCCAGATGGAGCAGACACTGCCATGGGTGCCACACGCGCATCCTACAGGTGGAGCCCAAAGAGAAACCCTTGAGCAACTAGGTGCAGGGATCTCAATTCCTGATGGCAAAAAACATGTCTGTACGACATAGACACACACACACACACACACACACAAGCACATACATATATATACACGTATACGTATGTGTGTGCGCATGTGTAATTTCTCTTTTAAAAAATCAAACTAAAACTCATGGCCTATAATCATTTTTAAGCAGCCCTGGTGGCACAGTGGTTCAGGGCTTAGCTGATAAGGGAAAGGTCTGTGGTTCAAACCCACCAGCCGCTCCATGGGAGAGAAGAACTGGCAGTCTGCTTCTGTAAAGATTACAGTCTAGAAAACCCTTGGGGAAATTCTGCTCAATCCTGTGGGGCCGCTAGGAGTCAAATTGACTTGGTGGCACACAACAACGTAATCACTTATTGTTCTTAGTTTACCAAAATAAAGAAAATTTCCTTAAACATGTTTAAAATCATCTACCCATTACTGCAGCAGTATTTTAAGGTTTTTTTTCTAAATGCATACGTGACAGGAAAAGTTGGGTGCTGACTCAAATTGTTCTGCATAAAAACACTGTAAAAAATATACCAAAAAAAAAAGCCGACATTGTTTCTTAAATTTTTTTCTCAAAGATTTTTAGGCAAGTCCCTTTTAAAGACCATGGCAGCGGTAACAGTGGACACTTATTAAAAGCTGCTGGGTATAAAAGGAGAAATTTCGTTTTCTTTCACCTGTGGTGACATGTAATGCTGGGGCAGGGGTGGTGATAAAACAAAACTAATTTTTGAAGCCAGCTGTTAGGTTACTTTGAACTATTTCAATGCCAATGTGTGTCTTACACAAAAGAGAATGATTTCATAAATTGATGTATAAGTAGCTGCTGGTGTTACATTTTACTTCACATACAGTTAAATTTAGATACACAAAAAATTAGAATAGAACAGAGCAGAATTATCTGCCCAGGCCAGAACTCAGTAACCCTGGGACAGCGGGCCGGGCTGTGGGCCCTGTTGGGGGGAAGGTGCGGGGGCGTGGCTGAAGCAGGCCAGGCTGCACGGGGTCTTCCACAGAGGTCTGCTCTGACCCGGAGAGTGCCCAAGCTCGGGATGTAACAGCTGAGCCGCAGCCCCATCAAGCCCAGTTGGAAGAAGTGTGGTGGGGCCAGGTTCTGGCCGGATGTGGAGCTAGTTATCTACTCTGCGCCCCGCTTTCCTCTTCCAATCTGACATTCACTGAGTGATCCATGCCAGGCACATGCATGATCCCCCGAGTCCTCCTCCCAGCCTGACAAGGCCTGCCGTCATCCATGCTTGACGGATGAGGAAACTGAGGCCCAGAGCGGTTATGTGGGGCTGAGGCCAGGATGCCAGCCCAGGCTGGCTGGCCAGAGAGCCCTCTTCCGTCATCATGCCATCAGCCATGCAGGGTCACTGCCCAGCAGCGGGTGGCCCTACCTTCAGCCGGTCCCTGAAGCCGAGGACCTGGTACTCCAGTTCCCGGAGCGGGGGCTGGGTGGGGGCCGTGGACCTCAGTAACTCCAGAACCTCCTGCAGGGGCTGCTCAAGGGCCATGCCAGTCCCATCCACTCCGTCTTCAGTCTCTCCTTCATCCTGGCCTTCCCGGCTACCGGGGATCATGCAGTTGTACATCGGGGAGCCCCGTGACAGATTGGGGCTCTCCACCCCCAGGTCCCTCCAGCCAGGCTGCTCCACAAACGAGCCTCCCGCCAGCTGGGCCATCTCTGGCAAGAGGCCCAGGGAAGAGGGGTCCTCACAGGCCTCCTCTTCAATGGAGGTATTAGGGCCAAGGGCCAAGGGCAGGAACCCCACATCTGAGGTGGAAGCCGACGTGCTGGTCTCTGTGTCTCGGGGGTCCTCGGAGCTGAAGGAGTCCATCTCAGGCAGCTCCTGACTCCGGCTCTGCAGGCCAGGGCCCCGAAGGTCATTGTCAGACAGGTAGCTGAGGATGGAGGTGGCCCTCGGCCCGCCCAACAGCAAGGCCTGCTGCGGTGGCTGCTGCAGGACAGACTGGGGAGGAGGACACAGCGCCAGCCTCACTGGCCACCCCAAGGACCATGCGAGGCCCCCAGAGGGGCTTCTTCCCACCCTGGACACCTGCACACCCATGTGCCCTGGATGGCAGAGGTCCCCAAGGTGGCCAGACCCTGCCCTGGTCTCCACCACCCCCTCAGACTCCTTCCTCTCCAGCCTCAGTGGCCTCCTTGCTGTTCCTCAGCCCTCCGGGCTCCGTCCCACATTCCCACCGCAGGACCTTTGCACTGCTGTGCCCTCTGCCCAGAACGTTCTTCTTCATATGTCTTCCTGGCTTGTGCCTTCACCTCCTTCGGGTCCTTACTCAGACGTCCGCTTTTCCGGATCCCGTCTCTGGACACCCTATTTTAAATGGCAACTCCCCAATTTGCCCCAGCAGCCCCCCTCCCCCACCCCTTCTTGTTTTCCTTGGTGGCCCTGATGCCCATCAGCAGACTGTACAGTGCTCTGATTTGCCTATTGTCTGATTTCCCCATAGGATGTCCACTCCCTGAGGGCACAGTCCTCGAGGGGCCAGGGGCAAAGCTGAGCACATAGTTCTGAATGAGTGAAGTGAATGAATGAATGAACGGTAATATACAATATTCAAGAGTGTCCGTTATCATAGAAACATCAGCTTGTCACTAAGCATTTGGTGTTCACACGCCTGTTCTAAGGATCTTGATGGCATACCTCATTTAACCCTCACCACGCCCCAGGGGGTGGCACTGTTCATGCCCCAGAGAGGCTCCGGCACCGGGCTGTCCTCAGGCCACACGGGCAGAGTGCAGTGCAAAAACTCGAACCTTCACCCCTCTGCTGTGCCCCTTCTGTCTCCTTATCAACCAGACCAACAGTAATAGTCCATGTTCATACAGCACTGTCTCTTTTTGCCAGGCGTTCTTTTAAGCACTGTTTATTAGCTCATTTAACCTTCACGACAACCCCATGGGCGCATACTGTTATTCCCATTTCTCTAATATGGACATTGAAGTCCTGAGAGGTTAAGTCACTTTCCCAAGATCACACAGCAGGTGAGAGGCAGAGGCAGAATTTGAACCTTGGCTGGCTGGCTTCAGAGCCCATGCTCTTGACTATAGATGGTTTTCTAACCAGAATACCCTGGGCCCCACCACGTCAGATAAGAACATTTCCTCTAAATCCACAAGATACTGGGCTCACATGAACCCATCCTCCCCACCTAAGGCCTAGAGGGCAACAGGACAGTCATCAGGCTCAGCCTTACACACCAGCCTGAGTCAGGGTGCCCCCTCACCTACACAGGAACACCCATGTGCCAACACCCCACCACACCTTAATGGGGATGGGCTCCCTGGGGTCTCAGTACCCCCATGAGGACCACCTGCTTCAGGGAAGCGCTCGCACCAGCGAGGCCGATGTGTATACAGGTTATCACACAGCCCTGTGGTTGGTGATAGCAAAAACAGTTAACAACCTCAATGTGTTGTTGAATTAAGCAGGATGCAGCTTCATGGGGTCTCCTGAAACCCATTGCCGTCGAGTCCATTCCAACTCACAGTGACCCTATAGGACAGAGCAGAACTGCCCCACAGGGTTTCCTAGGCTGTAATCTTTATGGAAGCCGACTGCCACAGCTTTCTCCCGCGGAGTGGCTGGTGGGTTCAAACTGCCTACCATTCGGTTAGCAGCTGAGCGCTTAACCACTGCGCCACCAAGGCTCTCTCCGTAAAGAAATGAGGAAGCTTTCTGGGGGTTAATAGAGAATAATCTCCAAACACAGCATTGGGTTAAAAAGGCTGTTACAGAATAGAAGATGGGGAAGAATACGCATTTGCAAGCCGATAGAGTCTCTAAAGAATGTGAAGCAATGGACAGCAATGGTCGGCTCAAAGGAGAAGTCCTGGATCCCTGGGGGTCACAGCACCTAACAACAACAACGACGTCAGGGTACTACCTTCTGGAAAAATATATTAAAGGTGGGTTTAAAAGAGGTAAAATGAGGTCCATGGCTGGTGAGGTCCAGGCGTCCAGGAGAACCAGCCAGGCCCAGGACCAAATTCTGCCCAGAGCCCCCAGAACGGACGGGGCAGCAGAGGAAAAAGAACAGAAAAGCCCCCAAAGAGCCCCAAAATGAGCAAGGCTGAACCCAGAGCTCGTTCACCCCAAGGTGCGGGCTGCTCAGTCCAGCCCCTCCCAGCATCCTTGCTGGCCCCTTGGGAGTCACCTCCCCCCCAGCCCAGTGTCCCAGCCCCACCTTGAGGTGGGGGCGGGGGGAGACTCACCAAGTAGTACCTCTCCCTGAAGCTGGGTGTGCTCGGAGGCGTCCAGTTATACAAGGAGCCCTTCCGGCTGCCCACAAACAACTTGCCCATGGGGCTGGGCGACACCAGGAAGCTGTCAGCATCAAACGGGCTGGAGGAGAGAAGAGAAGGCCCAGTCATCAATGCCCAGGGACCAGCTCCGGCATGGCCGGAATCCTGGGGGCTCTGTGGTGATGGGGCGCTGTCTTCATCTCGCACACAATGACAGTCGTTACTGAGCCATACTGTCTGTAAGGAGCTCCGCGGAGCCCTGCCTACGTCCTTCTTTTGACACTCGAGAGGGCCCGCTGAGGTGGGGAAATGAGGAGAAGCCAAGGCTCTGAGAGGCAAGTGGCTTTGCCCAGTGGTTCCGTGACCCCAGGCTGGGACACCACCCCAGGGAGAAAGGAGAGGCCAGCCCCAGAGGTCAGAGCTAGCGCCAGAACAGAGGCAACTCGGCAGCGCCTGGCGCCTGCACACCTGCCCCAGGCCAGTGGAGAGTAAGGAAGGAAAATTGCCTCAAAACCACATTTCACCTGGGAAAGAGCTCTCCCACCAGAAAAAGCTTGGGAAACCACCAGCATTCCCTGCAATGTGGTGCACAACCAGCGCCCCCTCTTCCCAGGGCAGGGAGTGTCCAGCGAGTGTGTCCCACCCAGGGGGTTGCAGCCCAGGGTGGAGCTCAAGGTGGCTGCTCAGCCCTGTGCCTGGGAGGCGGCAGCGGCCAGCCAGCCTCACTGTAAGCATCTCCTGGGTGAAGACGAGGCGAGGCTCTAACAAAGAACCCAAGCCCCAGGCGGCCACAGAAAAGGGTCCTGGTCCAGATGGGTCTTCAATAGACGCTCGTTCAAAAGTGGGACCAGAATTCAAACTCAGAAGGGCAGGGCTGCAGAGAAGGGTCTGGAGGCAGGAGGTGAGATGGGCGGGGTCAGGATGTGAGCAGGGACACCCGTAGATGGTGCTCAGGGCAGGAGAAGGCCGACTGTGCACTCAGGCCACCAGGGGGAGCCAGCGAGGCCCTGTCATCCCAGGTACCTCTGGGCTGAGGACCCCGGGCTGGTTTCTCCAGCTGGCCCTGTGGAGAGGCCGCGGGGCTGGCGAGGAGGCAGCCCCCACTCACTTCCACAGCACCTCCAGCTGCAGCTTGATGGTGCCCAGCTCTGTGATGTCCACCACAATGACCTGGGGCCGGGTGGTGAAGAAGTCGGTGATGTCACACGTCACTGCACCTACAGCCAGCGAGCTCAGGCCCCGCAGCTCTGTCACCTGGAGGGGTCAGGGGGTGTCTGAGCTGAGTGCCCAGGGTGCCTACCCACCCCACCTCCACATCCCCCTCCATCCTCCCACCCACCTTGATCTCGAAGTTCTCGTGCACGGTGGGGACGAAGGCCTTCTCCTCCTCGTCCCAGGTCTGGCTGTCGTCCGACTCTATCCGGCCCTTCAGCTTCCAGCGCTGGCGGCCCAAGCGCATGAGCACCTGTGGGCGAGGCCCAAGAAGGGGCGTGTCGGCCGCCCAGGTGCGGGCCCTGGGCAACCTCAAGCTCTCCCTGCCAGCCAGGCGGGGGTGGGGCAGAAATGCAGTTGGGACCCCTGTTCCCCACCAAAGGCCTGGCCAGAGGCCCTGGGGACAGACCTGATGGTCACCGTACCTCATACTGGTCTCCAGGACAGAGCCTCGCATAGCCCACCAAGCCTGGAACACAGAGACATCGGATCGCCCTCCCGCCCTCCTGTGACCCTGCCCCTCCCTCGATCACAGCCCTCACTGGAGGGACCCCCGAAGGGTGGGTCTCAGCTTCAGGGGGAATGAGCCATCATGATGGACAGGAGGGGACCTGGGTCCTCACATCTGAGGCTCAGGGAGGGGTGGGACTTGCCAGAGCTAGGCCTGGGCCCCTGGGATTCTGCCAGCCCCCCACCCCCAGCAGAAGTCCGGGACCCCCAGGAAAGCCTGATGTCCACCCAAGCCGGCCCCGCCCACGCGCTCTCACCCACTACCTTTCATCCTGACATGGAACTCGCCCAGGTGAACCTCCAGGGCCCCCTCGATGAGCCACATGTCCTGCAAAGCCCCACACGTGGCTCAGCCATCGCCCCACAGATCCTGCAGCCGAGAGCCCCACAGCCCAGCCACTGCCCTCCCCCCCCGCCACCGCCGCTGCACCCACCTCGGTGCACTCGTGCAGGCTGCGGCCCAGCTCCTGCAGGCTCTCTCGAGAGGCGCGACTCGGCAGGCACCTGGAGAAGGCCTGCTGCATGTTGGAGGCGCCGTCTCGCAGGCGGCACTGGATGCAGTAGCCTTCGTAGAGCTCCTCCACCTGCGGCCGGCACAGGCGTGGGGAAGTCCCATCGGAGGAGGCCTGGACCCGACTGATTGGGTCTCGCCCTCTGAGAGGCCGAGCCACTGCTCCCCTATCCCACCTCATAGGATGTGGGCCAATGGGAGCAGGATCACATCTGCCCTGTCTACTCAGCACTCTCCGCACACAGGGGGTGCACAGAAATTGTGACATGAACAAATGAATACATCACTTCTCTCTGCCCAATTTTTCTCCTCTTCAGGAGGAAGGGGGTTTCTAATATCGTGCCTACCCCCTGGGCTACCAAGGGAGTAAAGCTAGGTCATAAGAGGGTCTGGCAGACTGTAAAGCTTAAGGGACTTGCTGTGTGACCTTTGGCAAATCTTTGTCCCTCTCTGGGCCTCTACTTTTCCATCTGTACAATAGGGTGGTTGGACTCAACTTTCCTGCACTCCAAGATTGCAATGCATGAGGTCTTTCTGTCTAAACAGAGGAAAGGGCCCACACAGCTCTGGGGGAGCCCCAGTCACTGCTGCTGTCCCCCATCCCAGGTGTGAGCCCTGCAGTCCCTCAACTGGCCCAACGCCGGGAATCACCTACAGTCATTGCTGCCTCTCCCACTTCTGCTCATCCTCAGCTTTCTCCAGCTGACCTGGAGAGGAGGAAGAGGAGGCTCCCAGCACCCAGAGAACCTGGATACGGACCTGCAGCTGAGAGACTGCCCCAATCCCACCCATGACACCCCAGGGGCTGGCCGACCTTACTGATGTGAAACTCCATCTTCCGAATGTGCCTCTCCACAGAGCGCGTTTGCTTCTCCAGAAGAAAGAGACAATGTCTTGAGAGTGGTCTGGGCCACCTACCAGCCCACGCCACCTTCCTCCTGGTCCTAAGCACAGGGAGCTGGACTCGGAGCCCAGGCCAGCCCCTCTCCATCCTAGAGTAAGGCTCATCACTAAGCCTCAGTTTTCCCACCCATAAAATGGGGAGGAAACCCAGGTGTTCTTCCTGGAGGGCAGCCAGGAGGAGGAGTGAGAGCACAGATGCGACCCAGCCAGGCTCAGCGGCCCACCTCGCTTACCATGTGCAGGTAGAGGAAGTTTCACTCACCTTGTCCAGGTCGTAATAGAAAGCCTGTGGGGAGAAAAGGAAGTGGAGAAGGTGTCAGAGTCCTTGACACTCCTCCAAGGCCCAATGAGGCTGTCCCCGGGGTGCTTGGGCTGAGAGGATGCCAGTGCCTACAGGCAGCCCCACTCCATCCTCTGAGGCCTGGAGACAGTGGGTCAAGGAAGAGTAAGTGAACACATGGATTTTAGAAAGTTCTAGGCCTGGCTCTGCTACTTTCAGCTGTGTGGCCTTGGGCAAGTTACTGGACCTCTCTGAGCCTCCATTTTCTCATATGTAAAACGGGATAGCGATAGCAGCTACCCAATCAGGTCACTATGAGGAGTAAAAGAGACAGTAGGTACTCGACACATGGGAACAATCGTGGTTTGATTGTTTAAGGGATTAAGGGGTGACTTCAGCCATGACCAAAAGAACACGAGAGGCGGGGGGCTCAGAGGGGAGCCTGCACCATGTCAGGAGCTCAAGCCGTAGGGAACGGCAAATCCAGACTGGTCTATCCAGGCCAAGGTGCAGCCAGTGAAAAGAACAGATTGTCAGCGGCCAGCAAACTTGTTCTACAAAGGGCCAGACAGTAAATGCTTTAGGCTTTGCAGACCGCACCGGCTCTGTCACAAGTACTCAACCCTGCCTTGCAGAGTGAAAGCAGCCATAGAAGATATGTAAACAAATGCGTGCGGTTGTGTTCCAATAAAACTTTATTTACCAAAAAATAAACACACGAACCAGTTGCCATGGAGTCAATTCCAACTCATAGTGACCCCATGTGTGTCAGAGTAGAGCTGTGCTTCATAGGGTTTTCAATGACTGTGACCTCGTAGAAGCAGATTGCCTTGTCAGGTCTTTCTTCAGAAGCAGATTGCCAGGTGCCTCTGGGTAGGTTTGAACCGCCAACCTTTTGTTTAGCAGTCGAGCACTTAACCAGTTGCACCACCCAGGGATTCCTTTACTTACAGAACAGGCCGTAGTCTGTCAACCCTAGGATTAGAGTCAACCTATCTGAGACTGGAGGTGTTCCCACAAGGTGGCATTGGGGAAGAAAGCGAGGGGGGAGAGAATATGCTAATTGTGATTTCATTTTCTTAAGACGACTACTGACAACCTCTTTATGCATTTATACGGACATGTGAATGATTACGTGACCAGGGGAAAATATGGACAGATAAGCACAAGGTTGTCCTCAGGGTAAAACAGGGTGGGGCGCAAAAGATTGGGGAGGGGAGTCGATGGAAAAAGAAAGGATTGAACTCCCCAAAAGCCTGTTTTCTCATGTATGCATTTCTATAAAATTGTACATTTCTGTAAAATTCCATTTAAGAAATACAGAAATAGGAAAGATCCCAAGCCTTTGAAAAGAGGAACGGCTGCACAGCAACCTCTTGGAAACCGACTTCTGCTTAAATCAGAGGCAGCAGCAGCCAGGGAAGCAGGACCCCTGGGCATCATCTCACTGTGCGGCCCCAGTGCAGTTGCCACCCCTTCCTTGGCCTCAGTGTGCCCATCTACAAAATGGGAGGAGCTAATACATAGCACCTTTAGACACTCTCCTACTTTAGGGCTACTTCTAGAACCAAGATAGGGAGCGGGAGAGGGGCTCTGAGGCGTGAGAACCCTGTGCCAGTGAGGGGCATGAAAGCAGTAGGGTGGGTGCTGGGAACTTTCCTTTCCACACGTGGCGAAAGGCAGGGCTGGGAACTGGGATGGGATCTGGGGAACTTGGCAGCACTTCCTTCAACCATCTGCCTCTGGCTCGCCCTCTGCCCACCCACCCCAGGCAAGGCCTGGCTGAGCCAGCCTGGCCTTACTTCCCTGTAGCTGTACACAGTTGAGGCTGGGGCCCTGCACCTTCCACTCCTCCAGACCCCCGAGGCCCTCTCCCCTGGAGCCAGGGTACAGAGGTGGCTGGATGATACTCTGATGGTGAAATGACCCGTTTTCCTAGCCCCCCAGTCAAGCAGGTGCTTTGGAGGAAGGCTGCTGGCAGCTGCTGGGTGGAGAGTCCCACAGCCAGGCAAGCAGGTGGGTCCTGGCTTTTGTTTCCAGGGTCTAATCCCATTAAGCAGAGGTGGGGTTTTCACAAGGAAGCAGTGGTGGGGAGAAAGGAGCTGGGGGTCACTTCTCAAGACTAGAAAGAAAGCTCCCAGCTGGAGGGGTGGAGGAGCCTGCGGTGCCTGAGCAGGGGATCTTGGTAGAGTGGCCAAATAAAATACAGAATGCCCAGTTACATTCAAATTTCAGATAAACGATAAATAATTTTTTAGTACAAGTCCGTCCCAGATGTTGCATGGGACATCGTTGCTAGCTGCCGTCAAGTCCGCTCCGACTCATGGCGATCCTATCACAACAGAATGAAATGTCGCCTGGTCCTGCGCCATCTTCACAGTCTTTGAAATGTCTGAGCCAGCTCTTGCAGCTATTGTGTCAATCTATCTCCTTACACTTAACCTAAAAAATTATTGGCTGTTAATCTAAAATTCACCTTTAATTGACATCCTGTTTTTTGCTTTTGTTTTTGGACTTCTTTTTGTTTTTGCTATATCTGGATCTGCTAAGGGGGTGGCAAAAACCCACGGCAGGCAACCGCTGGGCTCAGAGAAGGTGCCCCCATAATGGCAGGAAAACTGGATGTGGCTGGATGTCAGGGGAACGAGTAGGCTCGATCAAGACAGGGTCAGGGGTCACTGTGACAACATGTGATGCCTGACCCTTTCCTGACACCACATGAGACCCCATGACTACAGGTTGTGTGCGGTGGCCAGGGTCTAGAAAACAGGACCATCAAGAATATACACACTCCATACACTTGCTGACCTGAGCGTCCCTTCTAGAGCTGAGAGAGAATGAGACGGGGCTCTAAACAGAACTGCTGCACTGGGTGAGGGGTGGGGGCAGATGTGGGAAGTTGCCCACCAGCCTGCAGGTCAGGGCCAAAGGTAGGTTAATTCATCACAAGACCCAGAAAGTCAATTCCTTGGTCTTGGGGTTCTTAGACTGAGGTTCACGCCCACGATGCAGGCAAGCAGGTGAGGGGGATCCATCTCTGAACCTTAGCCAGGCTGCCTGGCTGGGAGGGGCGGGACAGGGCCTCACCAGCCTGGAGTTCCTCCGGGTGTCCTTGTGGCGTCCTGACAGGTAATCCAGCTCCGCCTGCTGGACACACAGGTACTCCCTGTGAGGACAGTGAGGAGAAAGAGCTTTACATTTAATACGAAAAAGAAGCAGGCTAATGGCCAGTGTCCCAGTGTGGAGGCAGCCACGGCCGCGGGCATGGAGGGAGGCCATGGTTCTCAGCAGGGCTTAGAGGCCAGAAAGCGCAGAGTCGTACCTACCACCTGGAAGCCCAGCCTTTGCTCCCTAGGCCTCCAGCTCCCACACACCGGGTGAGGGCTGCGTGCCCAGCACAGCAACACAGGCTACTGGGAAGCTTTCTGTTACTTCCTCAAACAGCACACATGCAGGTCCCACTGTTATTACACCCCGCCCAGGATCCCCATCAGGGAAGAGGCAAGCTCAGGTCTGAAACCTCCAGAAGCACCCATCTCCACCTTCATGTCACACCCTCCCAAGCTCAGCCCCAGCCCACGGTGAGGTCAGTGCAGAGTGCACCCCCAGCACCATGAGCAAGGACTACTGGTCCTGCTGGCCAGATACCCCAGGGCCGAGGACCAGAGAGAGGCCTGGGAAGCCCATTCCAGGAAGCACAGAGGAAGCCGTGGGCTTAGTGGAGGGTTTCACATCATGTGTCCCAGACAAAGAGACTTGGACAGGAAACGCAGGGTCTGGACTTGGGGGCTGCGCTAGGGGCCCACCCTGCTCCAGCACGGGTTTGTTGGGTCACCCGCGCTGGCGCCACCTACACCACACCACGGCAAACATGGAAGGTGCAGCTTTTGCCGGGCCATGGCTGGCTCGGGTGCTTGGGCTCCCGGGGAGGAAAGGAGTGCCATCCACCCCAGACGAGTCTCAAGCACGCAGTTCTTATAGGACACTAGAAGCTGTCCTGTGAGGCGACACCTCTGGGGCAGGCCCCCACCTTCCACGCACACACACACAGCACCCACTCTGCAGTATCATGGGGCAGGGGGTCTATTATGGGAGGAGGGTAAGGGGCACCTCCTGGTGTGGGGACCAGGCCTTGGCAGTGGGGGTGGGGGGAGAAGGGAAGTGACATTTACCCTGTGTCCAGGCAGGACAGCAGAGAAGGTCAGTGTTGGCCCTGGAGTTGATTTAAAAAAAACAAATCCATTGCCATGGAGTTGATTCCAACTCATAGTGACCCTGTAGGACAGGGTAGAATTGCCCCATAGGGTGTCCAAGGAGTGGCTGATGGATTCGAACTGCTGACCTGTTGGCTAGCAGCCATAGCACTTAACCACTGAGCCACCAGAGCTCCTGGAGTTGATTTAACGGTCTCTAAGTATAGCAATGAATGTGAGGATGGCACGGGACTGGGCAGTGTTTCGTTGTGTTGTATGTAGGGTTGCTGTGACGCGGGATAGACTAAGCAGCACTGAACAACTATCCTACCCCTGGTTGCTGGCCATGAAATCCTAGACGAGTGGCTTCCCATCTTTGGGACTCAGTTTCCTTGCCTGGAAAAAGAGGCTAACACAATCTCTCCAGTAGGGTTCCTGTACAGATTCACCGACACAATGTATATAAAGCCCTGAGTCTATGGGAGCCACTGTTGCTGTGGTTATTTGTGAGGGATAAAGAACAGGGGCCCTAAGAGGTGGAGGGCAGGGAAGCGCATTCCAGGAAGGAAGAGCAGCATTCCAATTGTGGGCTGAGCGCCGGACTGGAGAGCTGAATGCGCTGCAGCCTCCCATGCCTCTCGCTGCCCCTGGGGCTGTTTAGAAGGGCAGAGCACAGACATGTGAAGATGGCACGCTTTGGAATGGGTGTTGAAAATGAAGGAAGAGTCTAGAAACATTGAAGGTCAGATTATAAGAGGACCTTGAACGTCCTCCCAAGGGCAGTAGGGAGCCATGGAAGAGACTTGAGCAGAGGAGGGAATAGCAGGATGGACAGGGCATGGGGGGCAGGGAGCCCAGCAAGGAGGCTGCTGCAAACAGACCACAGGAGGAAGGGAGAAAGGAGCTAAGCCAGCAGGGGAGAGGCGAGGACGGAGTTGAGAAATCCTGGGGTTTTAATGAGCGGGCTCGGTAGATAGCTCCAGCCGCACAACTAAGAGTGGCAGGAGAGGTCAGGACGCCGTTGCCCATTTAAACTAGAGCACGCAGTGAATCTGGGTGGTAACGAATGGCTAAGTCCACGTAACCTGCTCATGGGAGAACGCTCTCGCTCAGAGCCAGCTGACTTCTACTCTAGACACAGTGGTGACAAGCCTGGAATTCTGGCTTCTCAGCCAATAGGCATGTGACATGGGGAGAAGAGAGCCAGGAGCCTGGCCTGGGAAGAGACAGAAGGAGCAACAGTCTGGGGCGTCCAGTCCAGGGGCCAGCACCCCCTCACCTCCGCAGCTGCTGGACTCACCACTGCAGTGCAGTGTTGGAGCTGCTTATCCCTCATGCTCCCTGGAGGGAGGCACTTCCAGCCCATCCCCTAGCCCTCACACCCACTGCTCTCCAAGGGGGGAGGATGGCTTGTCGGAGGTGAGCAAGTGGCTCCGCCCCTTCCCTGTTCCATTCAGATGGGCGGAAAGACCCCCCCAGGCAGAAGCCAGTTTCTGCATCGCCATGGGGCTGCTTTTTCCCACCCAGCCTCCAGCAAGGCCGCCTTCCCCCACCCAGCCTCCAGGAAGGCCGCCCTCCCC